TTATAAATCTGAATTATTTTTGGCGTACGCCATTTCCGCCTTTTGGCTGTACGTTCACTTTTAGAATGGTTTCCACTCAATCCTTTATAAATGAGACCCCTGAGCTTGAAGATCGGCTCGGATCAGACTTTTCTCTTCTGTATGAGGTTCTTTAATAAACAAACTGGGTRGAACTGTTTCAGAGCTGTGGGACAAGTCACTGCTTTAATCATGCAGTGATTTATTGCTCTGCCTGCAACAACCCACATGATCAAACACTGTAAACAGTTGTTCCAATGAATTGTACAGAAGAATGTATAGACATTAAAAATGTAAAGCCTAATCTCCACCATGACGGAACATTGTGTCACATGAACAAGAAGGGATTTTACATATGTCATTTATTGCATAAATGAGGAAAATTGTTTTATTTTCGAACTGGCAGTCATGGATTTCAACTATTTTAGAAACAAAATAAAATGAAAGTGAAGAAACAATTTCATTATAATTGTGCAAGTTATATTCATATTGTGCTTCTGTACATTAAAATCACATTCATTACACCATGGTGAAGACTGATTGCTGCGCTGGATGCATTGGGGAGGGGGGGTGTCGGTGTCAGAGTGACCAGAGATAACATGACTAAGGCGGAAGGAGTAAGAACAATGAGAAAGCAACTAGCCTGTAATAGATCCTAGTTTYTGTTGCCAAGACAGCTTGTTGATGCAGGACGTGCTGATTTTCACTGCAGCATCACTGTTTCCAGGAAGAAAATGAATCAGAGAAACAGATATTTAATGACAGCATGATGGATCAGTGGTTAGCACTGATGTCTCACATGAGGAAGGTCCTGGGTTCCATCCTTGGTTCGGACCTGGGGTCTTTCATGTTTTCCTCATGCTTGTGTGGGTTTTCTCCAGGTTCTCTGGCTTCTTCCGCAGATCATAAACATGAATAAAAGACTGCCTTCAGGCCAAGGTCTCCCATGCTGAAGAGATCTGTGGTCTCAATTGGAGTTTTCTTTATTTTCATGAATATGAAAATTGTAGATTCACACTGAAGGCATCAAAACTATGATTTAACACATGTGGAATTATATACTTAACAAAAAAGTGTGAAACAACTGAAAATATGTCTTATATTCTAGGTTCTTCAAAGTAAAAACCTTTGCTTTTATTACTGCTTCACACAGTCTTGGCATTCTCTTGATGAGCTTCAAGAGGTAGTCACCTGATATGGTTTTCACTTCACAGGTGTGACCTGTCAGGTTTAATAAGTGGGATTTCTTGCCTTATAAA